CCTCCTCTTCGCGTAACTTTTGCAAAGTCTATCGCGCCCCGGTCGCGGAGGAGAACTCGCAAGCAGCTTCCCCGGGAGAAGCCGAAAGACTGAAACTTGCTAACCAGCCAATTATTCAGCTCGCGAGAACAGCAGGGCCATCGGATGCTCAGGATTCTACGCGGAAGCTGCCTTCGATCGTGCGACTGTTGCGCGAGCCGTATCGCGAGCACAGTTCGCGACCGGTCGTGCGCCCTATTCAAAGATGAAGTAATCCTGCGAAAGGAGACATTAAAGGCATTGTCACCGTTATCCCGCGGAACAATGCGTTGTTCCCTAGACGCTCCGGGGTCACTAGGAGCCGAGAGCGTTCTATCTGGCGAGGTTGCAGAGCGTAACCATCGGGGAAATGCTGTTCCCTGTTTTCCTTAGCTGGTCGCTCGATAATACGCACGCGGCGCTCTCCGCTCCGCTCGGCGGGGCTCCTCTCCCGAGGATCGATCTTCGCGGACAAATGCAATGAAAAATGCAGTCTGCCCGCATCCCGATGCAGTCCTCCGCTGGCTTCCGAGTTTTTCACCCCGCCCGGGGATCCAGATCCTCGCTAGGATCCAAATGTCCTCGTTATTAGAAGATCCAGATATCCTTATTACTAAAATTCAAAATATCCTTGCTAGGTTCTAGATACGCTCGCTTGGATCCTGATATTCTTTCTGCGACATCGCGAAGCCCTATTCAATTAACGCGTCCACCGCCATGTCATCCATAAAATCTGCCCAGATTAAGGACATTCAGCGGTGAACAGATGTGGAAAGACCACTCGGTATCGTAGACCTGAACTTTTCAATTTCAATTTCACTGGAATAATTTACTCGGATCTCGTTTAAACAGCTTTCACGATTTAAAACGCTTCCTTTCTCTCGACTTATTTCTCCGCGAGGCGATCCACGTATCAATAATTTAAATGAATTCTGACGAACACAGTCTTCTCGCGAGATTAATTAATAAACAGATAGACAGAAGCTGCGAAATAAATGACAAGGTAATCGGCCGATATGTCGCTCGGCTACGACCGTCTGTAACGGATGGATAACGAAGTTCGCGATGAACACGACCTGACCCAGATTAATCGGCGAGTTTATCCGTTCACGCGACGATCGAGCGCGAAAATATCCTTCGGACCAGACACGCTTTCGGACGCGATGTTTCCAGACGGAATTCCTCGCGAAATCTGGTTTCGATTGTTCACCGAAAAATTGACAAATGTGTCTGATGTTCGACACACGAAACAGACCGAGGCCCCCGCACGATAAACTCCGTCGAAAGTGTGTCGGCCGTTCGATGCACGCGCGCGATCTCGTATTTTTCAGCGATTCTATACGTCACCGGGGTAAAAGCAAATATATACGGCAGATATTACCTTACTCGCGCTCGAATTTTTATTTTCCTTCGATCTACGAACAGACCTTCTCTCTCTCTCCCTCCCCGGGTCTGCAGGATAGTGTTAACCGTGAACCGAAATGTACTTCAAACTTTTTCGCAATAGCTAAGAGGAAATCGAGCGATTTCCATTATCAGTCTGTGTCTGGAGGAAAAACCGCGATAATTATGACGCACAAGTGCCAGATGCTTCTAGATCGAAGTGCATTTATAATTCTTTGGTATACAATGAGTCAAAGGTGGCGCTACGAAGATGTATATAATTAGATCCAAATATTTTTCTTTTGTCCTTATGATTTCTAGAATATTGCAATCGATTCTCCAATAGAATTTTCAATAATTGTGGTGACGCGAACCTACGACACGGAATGCATTTTATGGTGAAAATGCGCTCAGGTAACGTACGAGATCTTTCTGCTACCAGATTCAAGTGGATACTCGATGGAGATGTTTTCACAGTTTTTAAAAAAGCCTACCACTCAGTCTACCAATTCCGGCGACGATTAAATTCCTATATTCCTACCCGAAAATTTGATTCGACCGAAAGCAGGATAAACGCATCTGCAAACTCGAACCGAGTCGGTGCATCAGGCTATGATCTGTCCGACGAGACCTTGAAGAAAGAATTCCGCGAGCCGTCGCCGCGCCTAGCGATCAATTCCGCTTAAACGATTTTATTGTCGCGTGTGTCATCCGCACAGAAGATTACGTGTTATACGTTATACATGCGGTGTCCCGTGGTCCATCCGCCCGTGCACGTTCTCGTGCGAGCATCGACGACGACGAACGTAATTATCCCGAGAGCGAGGAAAAAAGAAATCTCGAGCCTCGGTGGCGTTGCTCGGTCGCAGAGAGCGCGCGTCATTTTGTTCTGCGGCATTGTTCCAATCAGCGGGTGACGGGGACGTGATTTCCTCGCCGATTCCCACACCCTCTTCGACGGTTCTTTTCACCGGTGCGGCTCGGCGCGACGACTAATTTCGCCGCGGCTCCGGCCGGAATTGCGTGTAATCGTCGCGGGGCGAAATGGCCGCGGCCAATCGGCTATTCAGCTCGTGTCCAGTCGTTACGATCTGCAAGGGCCGCGGATCGAATTAGATCGGATTGTTAATTCCGCCGACGCCGGCGGTGGTTGTTCGGTGCGTTTCTTCGACGCGATTTTCATTCGGGTCCTCGATTGCTCCGACGCGACGATTTGAATTACAGCGCCGGATGCTCCGCGAATAACAACCGGGTGTTGTGTACGCGAAAATGTCTCCGGTATTATGCAACGGTATTATGCAGTCGCCGGTGAACCTCGATTCGAATTAAGACGCGCACGATTATTAGACACGCCAATTCGTATTGTCTTGTCACGATGCCGTGCAAGCGGCCCGACCATCTTTCAGAGATGTTTCATTATGAGACACGGCGGAAAGGGTTTTTTAACCGTAGGCCAATAAACGTCGACCCGTATTGTTTACACGTTTACTGAATTAGCGAAGAGAAAAGTAATTCTAGAAAGCTTCGTGCGAAGAGAGGAAGTAGTTACGTCTTCTATATATATATATACTTTCTATTCATGATTAATTTTCTATAATGAAATTAGCGCGTTTGCTTTCTGTTCAGCTATCCACTGCAATGTAATATCGTTTTAGTTTTCTTAAAATTGAGCGAAAGATTGATTTTTTGATACACGGATAAAGAAAGTTTATTCCAGGTGAAATATGATACTAAACCTTTAGCCATTTAAACAGGTGTAATCGGCTCAAACGACTCGTTCTTGGATTCTTTCTTCTTCGTAAGTACGTTTCTATATGCGAAATTCCTCGACGAAGTGAATTACTCGACCAACTGAATCCGGTAACTAATTTTTCTAACCGACGAAAACGATGCTTGACGGAGCGACGAGAGAAGCGTTTTTTCAAGGGAAATCTCCGGGGAAGTTCCGGTGAAAATTCGAGCGGAAACGAGCGAGTTTGAAGGGCGTTGTTGTAGAACAGGTGTAACCCTTGGAGAACGGAGGATCCGCGTGGCGAGACGAAAAGTGCCATCGAGTTTGAGCGCGTAGAGAACAATGAATAAAGCCGTCGGGCGGTGTGGAACGGGAAACGGGTAACGGGAAGCGGGAAACAGGATGGTTTTAGTCCCAGGTATCGGTAGGAGAAGGCTAAACGGTTCCAGCTGACTCGCCTCGCGCGTTATTTCCCGGGGCAATGAGAGCGGATCGCGTCGCGCTTGTACGTGGCCGACACTCGGAGCGCTCGTGATCCAGATATGGCGGCTCGAGGCCTTTTATCTGGCTGTTACGCGAGAGAATGACGTTCTCGATCCCGTTGAATCACGAATCGAAGGCGCATCGAGCCGGCTTGACCGCAAATCGAGCTTCTGTCGACGGGAACACCACCCGATCGGAACAGCGTCCACGTGATCGCGAGCATAGCGCGTAAACAATCGATTAGAATTACGCGGACGTCGCAGCTGTTTTCCGCGCGTTTCCTCCTTCTGATCGATGCGACGCGCGACGTTCCTTCAATGGATCTCTCTTTCTCTCTTCCTTCTTAAGGATTGTTTCATTCGTTGTCGAAAATCAACACGAAGAAATCCTGCAGAATCGAAATAATTTGATCAATGAAACCGAAACTGGAGAGTTATGTTTCTTCAACTCTTTCGCATTCTAAAGATCCCGATTAAATTAATTTGTTCGGATGTATTTCACTCAAAAAGTGAATTTTGCGAAGCAGTGAAAAATCAATGTCACCCATATGCGACCATCGCGACGCTCGAACGTGTTAATTGTACTTTTCACCTGACAGCGGAACTATGCCAGAGCGGGAAAACACGGCGATCCGAGGGATTCCGTTGAGAGTTTCTGAAAATCGGTTTAGGAGATTCGGACGGCCGGTCAGACGAGATTTAAACTCGTCGGTTGAATGGAAATGGCTTATCTCCGGACGAAACGGGGACAGATATTTTCACCGAGGTCGGGGACTGGCGGAAAATTTTTGCATCGACCGTCATTATCTGCACAGTTCGAGATTTCCTGAGTTGCGAAACTAACGGATGATCGATGAACGCTATTCCGAGAAGCTTAACTGTATTTCGTCGATAATAAGCATCCCCGGCAACCGTCGCGGTCCTTTAAAATTCACGGATTTCGAGCCGGACAAGGTATTGGCCGCGCGATCAATTATTCAGCTTTTCCAAAGGTAATGACTGTCGCTCTTTATTTAAAGTCGAACACATAAATATTGTTTTATCGGCGAAAGTGTTCTCTCTCGGATACGGACGATGAATTAATGATCGATACCGACCGAAATCGTGTCGCGTTCCGCGCGAAAGACTGTTAACAAGAAAACCAATGAAATATTTATCGGAGATCAAGCAGAGAAGTCTGTCAACTCGGCTCAGAAATATGGACGACTCGGATAATGTGGATTCCGCGTGAATCTTTAAACATTCTGCATCAACGTCGCTCTGAAATATGAAAACCAAAACCGATTCGAGAACAGCCATTAATTTCGCAGAACCATCGTCGAACAGGTCGATGCATGCAGAGAAACAAATAAGAATCTGGAACAGAGCAAAAGAGAAGGACTCACTTAGGGTTGATCTTCTTCAGTTCGCCGAGGGTGGGGTTGTACGAGTGGTCCTCCCCGCTGATCCTGGCCACCCCGTCGTACACACTGACACCGTAACCCTTCACCACAATGTCCACTAAATCCGGAAAACCGTCGTGCACCACGGTTTTCTCGGTCCTAGAGTCCCTACGCTCGCTGCCAACGTCCCTGGCACTGTTCTGAGTGGTCCCGGACACGTCGCCGCTCGTCTGCTCCTTGCTAGCGTTCACTCTCTGCAGGAACTTCCTTCGAAAGTTATTGTAAATGGTGTCCGAGTTCGGATCGTCCCCGAACCTCACCCTCCCGTGACTCGGAACGAGATGATGCCCACTGTAACCTAGGTCCATCTGAAGGTCCATCACCAGCAGGATGGTGAACAGAATCGTGAAGGCGCTGAGGCCCAGCATCAGCTTGTCCTTGATCCTGATCATCCTGATAGGGAATTTCATCTTCGGCTCGCTGGGATCCGGGGTCTTCCCGAGGACTCTGTTGGCTCTCTTCTTGCGGACGAGTCTCGGCAGAGGCTTGCACCTGGGCTTCTTGGCGACCTGGTCGACCAGGACCAAAGGTTCCGGCGGTCCGTCAGAGTTCGGGATGCCAGCGGCCGAGTCGAGACAGGTTCTCCATGCGGCGGTTCGATCGGACACCTGCGGCAAAGCGTTCGCTAGCTGCTGCTCGTCGGGCCGGTCATCTTCGACGCAGTCTATATCGATGGCGGCGTGAACCGGCGCCGATGAGTCGGGAACGGTTACTTCCGGTCGATTATGATCCACCTCGGTCGAGTTCTCGGGCTGTCCTGCGACTAGCTCGTGTTTACTTGGCCTCTCCGCAAGCTGGCATCGGCCAGTCCCCTCCTCGTGGCCAGCCTCGAGCTGTCGGCAGTCGGTGAAATTCGCAAGTTTGCATTTTACCACGGTCGACGTGGCCGGCTGACGGGCGTCCAGCTCCTCACTGGGCATCCACGACTTCCTCGCCGGCTCGGGCTTATCGTCCGACCCCTTATCGCCGATCCGCCGTGACTCGATCGACCTATGAACCTGCCACTCGTCCGGCGGCGGCGATCGCTTCGCTTTCCACGAAGCCTGCCAGCCGCTCGTAGCCTTCCTATCGGTTTGCCGCGACCTTGACACCTCGACGACGAAGCGTCTGTGGGCGAGAGGCGAGCAGTTCGCTGTCACCGGGTCCAGCCGATGCCTGGCGACCTTCGAGCCCTTCTTCGCCAAGTTCTCCTCGCTCCAGGAACGCAGCTGCTCCGACTGCAGCGCCTCGAACAGCTTCGCCGACTTCTCTATCCGCCTTCTGATCAGCACTCGCTGCTCCAGCAACCGGAGGTTGTTCTCCGACCTAATCAAATCCTCCACGTCCTCCACCGAGACGCTCTTCGAGGAGCTCGCGTCGTCGGCCGGTACACAACTATTCCGGCGAACCCGGCCGCCTGGGACCAGCCTAACAGACTCGTTTACAAGAGTCTCGCGGTCTGTCCCACGGGTATCGCGGCTCTCGTTTGCCAAAGAGATAGCGTCCTTGCTAGGACAGATGGAAACACGAGCTGCTGGGGATTCCTCGCAGCAATCGTTAGGAGATGCTACCGCTGCCGGTGATGTTGCCGCTGCTTCGTCGACTTTCAGAGGTCTCCTTGTGGACCTTTGCCTCCGCAGAGGAGCCACGGGCTTCTCATCGACGACCGCGGCAGGCTCCTCGTGCGACAGAAATTTCCTCCGAAGAACCGACGGACTCTTCTGGATGTTCCTCACCAGACGCTCGCAGCCCTCGGCGATGTTGTCTTTCGAGCTCCGGACGAGCTTCTTCAGGAACGAGTCGCTTTTGTGTAACTTGCCGCGAGTCGGCTCTGTTTTGACCCTCGGGAGATCACCGGGAGGATCGTCGGCTTCTTCGCGATCGGATCTTCGAACCTTCTCGCTGAAGGTGAACTTGATCCTAGGCCTGTCGAAGCAGTTGAACGACTTCTGGTCGGGTTTCGACGATGGTGCTCGGTCGCTCAGGCTCTTCTTGATCTTCGTTCTACCGTTCCTTCGATCACGGAACCGCGAGTCCTCATCTTCGATCGAGCTGCCCGAACCTCGGGTAACTGGCCCGCCGTCGAAGGCCTGCTCGGCCGACCTCCACTCGCTATCTTTGAATGTCTGGCGGCTTGCACGTGCTGTCTCGGCCTCCGAACCATTTAAAGGACATCTCCTCTCGTCCAGAGTTCCTCCCGATACGGAAACCCCGGGAAGCCTCGGTGTGTCGATCGCGGACCGCGCGAATCGTTAACGAGGACGTTTTGACGAATGTCCTCTCACCTGGGTCACTAACGACGCGCGGAATCCTTGCCGGTCGGTCACTTTCACGCGGCTCGAACACTGTCAGCCTTTCGATTTCGATCCGTCACCTGGAAAACACAAAAGGAATGCGTTGAGAAAGTATGCTAACTAGAGTTTCCTCGCGAGCTGTTCGCCAAGACGAATTGGAACTCGTGCACTCGGTCTTTTTCTTTGGAAATCGCGGCTTGTACGACGATCGACTAAAGATTGTTTCTAACGTCTGCTACGAAGACGCTCTGCTATATATGCTATCGCTATATATGCTATATATGGTATATATGCTATCGCTTTGCTAATCGACGCTCAGATTGTGCAGAAAAATGGACAATTTGGGAAGAGGAGATACGATTACTCGAGCCTTGCAGCTCGTTTTTACAGTTGTTGACAATCGATAACCATAAAAAACGAGCCGCGAGGCTCGATTAGAGAGACACTACTGTACATTATTAGGGTTCATCGATAGCTCCGAGTGAGCTTAGTGTTTTAGCGAATAATTTCTCGGAGCGAGAGGAAAATTTATCTTTATTGCATACGTACATCTACTTCGATGCTTAAATATTCACGACAAGAGAACAGACTCGGCGAAGAGCAGCTGCCGCAAGAGAGCTAATGTTTCTCTTCTGGGTTCTGTAATCGCGAACAGCGTTGAGCGACTCCATTAGCNTCGGATCTTCGAACCTTCTCGCTGAAGGTGAACTTGATCCTAGGCCTGTCGAAGCAGTTGAACGACTTCTGGTCGGGTTTCGACGATGGTGCTCGGTCGCTCAGGCTCTTCTTGATCTTCGTTCTACCGTTCCTTCGATCACGGAACCGCGAGTCCTCATCTTCGATCGAGCTGCCCGAACCTCGGGTAACTGGCCCGCCGTCGAAGGCCTGCTCGGCCGACCTCCACTCGCTATCTTTGAATGTCTGGCGGCTTGCACGTGCTGTCTCGGCCTCCGAACCATTTAAAGGACATCTCCTCTCGTCCAGAGTTCCTCCCGATACGGAAACCCCGGGAAGCCTCGGTGTGTCGATCGCGGACCGCGCGAATCGTTAACGAGGACGTTTTGACGAATGTCCTCTCACCTGGGTCACTAACGACGCGCGGAATCCTTGCCGGTCGGTCACTTTCACGCGGCTCGAACACTGTCAGCCTTTCGATTTCGATCCGTCACCTGGAAAACACAAAAGGAATGCGTTGAGAAAGTATGCTAACTAGAGTTTCCTCGCGAGCTGTTCGCCAAGACGAATTGGAACTCGTGCACTCGGTCTTTTTCTTTGGAAATCGCGGCTTGTACGACGATCGACTAAAGATTGTTTCTAACGTCTGCTACGAAGACGCTCTGCTATATATGCTATCGCTATATATGCTATATATGGTATATATGCTATCGCTTTGCTAATCGACGCTCAGATTGTGCAGAAAAATGGACAATTTGGGAAGAGGAGATACGATTACTCGAGCCTTGCAGCTCGTTTTTACAGTTGTTGACAATCGATAACCATAAAAAACGAGCCGCGAGGCTCGATTAGAGAGACACTACTGTACATTATTAGGGTTCATCGATAGCTCCGAGTGAGCTTAGTGTTTTAGCGAATAATTTCTCGGAGCGAGAGGAAAATTTATCTTTATTGCATACGTACATCTACTTCGATGCTTAAATATTCACGACAAGAGAACAGACTCGGCGAAGAGCAGCTGCCGCAAGAGAGCTAATGTTTCTCTTCTGGGTTCTGTAATCGCGAACAGCGTTGAGCGACTCCATTAGCCCCGAGCGGGTAGCATAGTCGGTAGCGAGGGTGGTTCCGCAGGACAGGAAGACGTTATCGTAGGCGAGTACGCGAGAATCTGGCCGGGTGTCGTTAAAATCAGCGGTCGGTCGCCGCGGATATTGAATTATGCGGTCTGTCTGGACGCGGACGATGTTTTGCTGGTATAAAAGACCGGTGGAATAGGTAGAGCGACACGGCGACCTTTACGATCTCGGTCTGGTGGCCGATCCTCCAGCACCGAGACCCAGGCATCCTCTTTATGACGCGACTTTTGCGATAACTGTAATGGCCACTCCCGCAACACGAAGCACACCATTACCGTCACTCTATTTCACAGTTGATATCGCGGCTCTTTCAGAGGCCAAGGGAGAGACGCGGCCGGCACCCACCCTCGCACCACCCTCGCACCACTCCCGCACCTCGGGGCCATCCCCTTAAAGGCTCCACCTTGACCCAGTCCATCCGACACCGGTGGCCAACGCCGGCTCTTCGGCTCTCCGGCAACGGCAACGGCTCCGGCTCGTGTGCACCTGCAAGGAAACTCGATAAAACGCCTGCAATACGGCTATTATTACACCATCGAGCGTTGAATTATTTCTGGAGAGACCCGGCTCTTCTTGTGTGCCTCGTCTGCCCGCGTGGGCACACCTCGTTACGTTGTTCCTTTCAGCCTCCGTTCGACGGGGTCGATGGTCGCCTTGTGTTATCTTTACCGAGAAACACGCTATCGCACTCTGCTCGCTAAAATCCGGCCCAATCGCCGTTCCTCGGCTGATAATATAATTCCTCTCGTTTCTTTCCTTTTTTCCTTGCAATGACCTTGTCTTCGCCAACTGGCCACAGATCGCTCGTCGTATCTTCTCGTTCGCTCCTTGTTTTTCAACGTATCTCTCGTCGTATCGTCGTTCCGACTATACATCTGTTTGGTCTTATTAAATGTCCAGCACGTTACTCGGTCTCGCCGGGTCATCGTATGCGTTATATTTAATCTTTACTGACAGTTTGACACAGTTATATTAGGTCGAGTCGTAAATAACATCCGATGCAGCTAGGTAGAATCTATTGTTCGCATCTACCCACTACAAGTCACCGGGACAAACGAGTTTTTCCTGTCGCTAAATAGATAAGGGTTCGAAATAAATAAAATATAAAACAAAAGAAGAAATAAGACGGAGTAAGTGTCTGATAAAAAACAGATGTTATTCATGACTCGACCTAATATTCAATCTTTCGCCGACTCGAACAATGGATAGCGTCGCGCGAGGTTAAACAGCTTCAAGTGCAATACAAAGGGTTAGAACTTTGGCCGCGGGTGATTCTGACGCGTTCCGTAAACGTCGCGTTAACACCGTTTCCGATCGATTGCGTCGCCGACTCGATGCTGCAGGTGTTTTACGATTACTCTAGAAAATTGAATCGATCTGTCGAACGTTTCCCGAGATCCTTCGGATTAGAAGGAAATTGCAAACGACAATTCGGAGCAATGCATACCACGAACGACCGAGAAACGTCCGAGTGAGTCAGCGACGAAAATTGCAACGCAAAGTGGGCTCAAGGCAGCCTGCGCCATAAAATCGATAATTCAGCGCCGGTTGCGTAGATTAAGAAAATAGTCCGCCACTTTGTACAGACAGATGAAATCATGTCTCGTTCGACGACGCGGCGCCTCGCCGTCCATTCCTGATAAAAACAATAACTTCGTCAGCAAGAGAGAGAGAGAGAGAGAGAGAGAGAGAGAGAGAGAGAGAGAGAGAGAGAGGAATCTCCGCTCGAGTTGAGAGTTCGATCACGCGTAACGCAGAGACAACGGGGTCGCGTGACGTTACACCCCCGCGTTACACCCTTGGCCGGGCTTTATGGCGGCACTTCCTTCACCGGCGCGGCAGAGAAATGTCAATGGTAGCAGCTATCTTTATTATCGGGGAAGAACGCCCGGAATTTCAATGGCGCCTCGTACTCGTCGCCCGGTATCGGCCCGAGGGAAACTTGCATACAGCAAAACCGCCTTCGTTTGGACCCACGCGAACGATCCGCTTCGACGAACCGGAGCGTTCCGGGGCGTAGGAGGAGAGCGTAGGAGTGCCGTGTCCTGGTAACTGTTCCGATCAAAGATTCCGGCGGAACGACAACGATTTCCAATCGTTTTACGGATGCGACAAAGCGAGGCACGCCAAGCGGATCGTAAATCGTCGCGCTACGATCTCCTCTTGGACGCATTAGTCCGGCCAATTCCGGAAAAACTGCGCTCTCGGTTAGCAAAACGGTTACATCTTGGCGAGAACTTACGCTCGTTCTACGACCTTGTCCACGCTTGGTCCTGCAACGATTCGCAGAGGTTTGGCTGGGAAAGCTGGGCCAAGTCGGGTGTAACTTGGTGATTGAAAAGGTTCCGGAAATAACCGTTTCGAACTGGTTACATTATGCATATCGGTTCTCACTGAAACAGTGATGAAGAACCGAAAAGCAATGCTTGTATTATATTATATTATATTGTATTGTATTGTATTATATTGTATATTATATTATATTATATTATATTATATTATATTATATTATATTATATTATATTATATATAACCTTGACATCAATTTGAAAAACTCTGTATGTATCCGAGGTATCTTATCGCCTCGGGAAAATCGGATGGGAACAAGAAAAAGTTTCATTTCGAATAAGATAAGGAATATTTGCCGCGACGAAGGATCCATCTTCGTTCCGCTCCTTATCGTCACGTTCCCGCGAAAAACCCATCGACGCAGTTTAATCCCGCGGGAGCGAAAGAAGCCTCTCCCGAAGAAGAGGAGTTCTCATCGACCGCGACCGGAAGCGAACGCGTGCGGAAAACGAACCGCGCGGCTCGCAGCCGCACGTGCGCAACTCCGCGAATATAAATACGCCGGGGCTAATTGTAAGCCGGCGCCGATTTCCTGCGATAACGCTAAGAGCCCGGGACCGGCCCGCGTGCTCCCTTCTAATTAGAAATTTCGATTATTAAGGCGAATACACGGTCGCCGCGCCGCGCCGAGCCGCGTCCGTGGAGTACGCGTCGCATAATTAGAAGCCGTTGGATTAGAAACTCGAACAGTATGCGTTTGCGGAATAGTTCCCGGCGACCTCGCTTCCGAACTTTTCTGACTTGCGGCTGCGAGGACTCTCTCGATCGATGCAGGAAACGATCGGGAGGAACTTCTGCGGTCCGATCGGGTTCCCGTAACCTAGCTAACGAAACGCGCCGAGAAAAATCGAGCTTTGTTGTAAATCGATCGCGAGGCGTAATTTATCCTGGTCGACCTCTTACGACCCGAGGGTCGCGAACCTTCTTTTTTATAACGACCAGGCTACTCGCAAACATTCCTGCACATTTGCATAACATTGTATTTTTAACAGCCGCACGTCAAGCTGATGTTCCAATGGAATTTTAATGAAATGTATCGTCAAAGAAATAAAGATTAACTCCGTCTCTTAAATAACCACTAACTGGTATAGCTTCTATAATCTTATCGCCAGAACCAGTGTTTATGTCCACGCAATGTCCACAATTGCGAAACGACATTATATAACACGCGGATAGCCACCTTGTAACCTCACTCGTGTGTCACGCGTCGCGTACGCTTTATAGTTCCTTGCCATTGAATTAGGCAAAAATTCGGTTCTCTTCTTTCTTTAATCCTGTATTATAAATTGCACGTTGTCTTCGACCGCCTAAATTTTTACTACGAACTAAAGGTGGCTCAATGCACAGCATTCGGATTACAGTAATGTCTCTCTAATCGACGCTCGGATTGTCCACAAAAATGAAGAATTTTAGAACAGGAGATACGATTATTCGAGCCTTGCGGCTGTCTCTTATACACATCTAGATGTGTATAAGAGACAGCCGCAAGGCTCGAATAATCGTGTCTCCTCTTCCCAAGTTTTTATGGACAATCTGAGCGTCAATTAGAGCTGTCTCTTATACACATCTAGATGTGTATAAGAGACAGCCGCAAGGCTCGAATAATCGTGTCTCCTCTTCCCAAGTTTTTATGGACAATCTGAGCGTCAATTAGAGCTGTCTCTTATACACATCTAGATGTGTATAAGAGACAGCCGCAAGGCTCGAATAATCGTGTCTCCTCTTCCCAAGTTTTTATGGACAATCTGAGCGTCAATTAGAGCTGTCTCTTATACACATCTAGATGTGTATAAGAGACAGCCGCAAGGCTCGAATAATCGTGTCTCCTCTTCCCAAGTTTTTATGGACAATCTGAGCGTCAATTAGAGCTGTCTCTTATACACATCTAGATGTGTATAAGAGACAGCCGCAAGGCTCGAATAATCGTGTCTCCTCTTCCCAAGTTTTTATGGACAATCTGAGCGTCAATTAGAGCTGTCTCTTATACACATCTAGATGTGTATAAGAGA